GGGGGAGAATCACCTCTCTTAATCTGCTGGCTACGCTTTTCTTGATACATTCCAGGATATCTAGTAAGATGTTTCTCCTGCTGCAGCACAGTGGTGACTTCTCGGCGACTTCTCTGCCAGTGGCATAAGGCGGAGTTGCTCAATGCTGGCAGCTCTCTTGCCCTTCATGTTGTGAGACTTTCTAGGAAGGATGATTGCATCTCCTGGTGTCGGCTTTCTGCCTCTCTGAGGAATTCCCAGGTTTGGTGCAAGAGTTCCCCCTACGAAGTCCCCTGTCTTTTCATGTCCCCAGCCTTCTCTTGAGTCACTTCCAGGCTCCAGACATGGAGGTTCCAAAAGCTGGTGCTTCTGCTGTGCTTTTGATGCTGTTCTTCTGGTACTGTGCTCTCTGGAGGCCTGTGCCCTGGACAGCTACATTGCATCTGTCTACAAGAACAGCATGGTCTTGTCAGAGGACACTGAATTGCCGGTTTTATGCTGAGGAGGCCTTGATGCTGATGGACAAAAATATGACAATTTTGGAGGAGGCCGTCAAAGAAGGAGCCAGACAGGTATTATGACAGAGTTAGAAACATTCATTTTGGTAAACAGTGACCGCTTATTTGTTTTCTTAATGGTGTTTTTTTGGTTTTTACGTTGGTACCGGGGTGCTCATATCATTGTGACTCCTGAAGACGGTATTTATGGCTGAGTCTTCACAAGGGAGACAATATATCTTGAGGATATGCCAGACCCAGGGGTCGACTGGATTCCCTGTGCTGCCTGGAAGGTATCGCTCCTGATGTGCATGGGGAAGTGGTCCAATGGGAAAGATGACTGCCTTTAGGAGTGATTGCTGATAATTTTAAATGTCTTGGAATAACTGCCATGGAATTAATTTTCACAGGGAGGTTAGACATCATATAGTTGCCATAAACAGCTTCAGACAACTCCATAATTTTTCACTGTCATTTTTTTCTTGCTGTAATTCTTTCGATTTTAGCTAATATGCTCATAAAGGCTGAAATTCATTTAAAGCAAAACCAAAAACTTACAGAATCTACATTTCAGTAATGTATTCTTTGCATGTTGTAGAAAATATTTAAGATATGGGAATACTAGGAATATTTCTGAATAAAATAATGGCTACTGCTGAAAGGATATACTGCATGATTTTAAATATATTTTTTTGAATCATGGTGTTGTAGACTTTTTACTATGTCATTCACCTTAATAAATTGCACCGTGTTTTGAGGCTGTGATATTTGGTGAAAGGTAAAAAAATGCACCATTGAATAAAAAAATCCTAAGGTCCCTCAGCATGGCAATCAAACTGAGAGCCGAAGCAGAACAGCTGAGGTTAGCCCACGCACTGGTGTAACATCAATGCTGTGCCACACACCAGCAGCAGAAGGGAAATTTGCCAGTGCCCAGGTTCGCTTTCACTTCAGGGAAACCCCTCTGTTCCCCACTTAGTTATGTGTGAGGTGAAGCAAGAGTTTCAGCATGCTAAACTTTAAATAACAGAAAACAAGTCTGCTATTAGAAATGACCAACTTAAACCTTCTTATGATCTGTAGCCTTAGTGCTGGAATTTTTGTGGATTGACTGGTTTTGATGGTTTATTTCCTTCCTTCCTTCCCTGCTGTTTAGGTTTGCTCCCTCACTCGTGCTGGAAAGACTGAGCTGTCTGGCGAGGAATAATTCCATCTACACGGTTGTGAATATGGGAGACAAGAAGCCATGTAATTCCAGTGATGCAAGGTGCCCAGCTGGTGGTCGCTATGTTGTCCTTGACTCGGAGGGGAAACTGGTGGCTCGTTATCACAAGGTAAGAGGATCTTATAATGTTCAGGAAGTCATGATCCTCACGTGATTAGAGACGTGAAACAGAAGCTGCTTCCCAGGCTTAAATGTATTTGTATATAGAGTTACTATAGAGCAGGCATCAGAGGGCAGGTGAAAGCCACTGTCTTAAGGTACCTTTGTTCCTGCTATTTTGAATTTAATAGCAAGAAAATAAATGAAAATAATTAAAACTCAGTAAGCCTTCTATTTTTGCTACTTGTCAATAGGAAATGATACATATTAAAACATTAATGTCCTAAATTCTAGATAACTAAATACAAATTCCTTTCACTGACATAAATCAGAACCATGGATATTTGTGCTTGACTCTTCTTACAGTATTAAGAATTCTCCTTTTTGAAATTGATGTAGCATCTTTACAAAACATATTCTTTACTTGTGTTAAAGTGAATGAGTGTTATATTCAATGTCCATCTGATATGAATTGTTTTATTTCTTTTCTAATACCTTTTTCTCTATTCCTTCCCTTCCATGAACAGAGTGATCTTTTTGTGACAAAGAAGCAGTTTAATTACTCTAAGAACCCAGAATCTGTGACTTTCAATACGTCCTTTGGCTACTTTGGCATTTTCACTTGCTCAGACATACTCTATTATGATCCAGCTGTGGTCTTGGCAAGGAGATTTCAGATTGACACTGTTCTGTTTCCAGCTGTTCGGGGTAACACTCTTCCACTGTTGTCAGCTGTCCAGTTTCACTCGTCAGGGGCCATGGCAATGGGCATCAACATTCTTTCAGCAAATACACACAACTCTGCTTTAGATATGACAGGCAAGGTGATATTGCTTTAAATAATCCTCGTGCACATCGACAATATTTATATCTATGTAGCAGCGCAGGTTACCTGAACAGAAATTCCCATCAGCTTTAAGCATCCATTCACACGTCAACAGGATTAGGACAAGAGAACTTGTGCAGATAAAACGAAAATCAAAATGTGGTATGTAAGAACTCAAAAGTGCTGAAGTTGAATAGAACACCTTTAGCTATTTTTTGAATGACCAGTCCTGAGAGTTTATGCATGGCATTGTTTATCTTCTGCCCCTGGTGGTGATCGATGTTTTGGTCATACGAAAGCCCAAACTTTTTTTCTCCACTAGGTGGAAACCTAACTCTGTGAAATGTTTTTGAGAGTCCTGTAAACAGAACTTCTAGGCTGGAGACCTTCTGGCAAGTTTTCTTCGCAGGCTCTCTTTTCACTGTATATTTTTCCTGAGCAGATGCTAGAAGTCAAGCACAAGTTTTGTGCGCACGTACTTGCAGAAATGAGAGAAACTTCCTGGTGTTGCTAAAATGTAGCCCCAAATCTTGCATTCCAAATAAAAGCAGATAATGGGCTATTCCTTTAGTTCTCCATCACTGATGACCCAATGTCATACAACTCGTTCTTTATGGATAGGTTTTACTCTGTGCTTTAAAGATTTATGTATTTATGTAAAGAGCTTGCATAAAGATGTCACTTTTGGTAATATCTTTTCCTTACAGATTTTTTTTTGCTTGGCAGTGTTACGTGTATTTTAATCAGAAATACTGGTTTCTAGTGCAGCTAAACTGCGGTGCATGCAGTTTATGTAGATATAGGTATATTGTATGCCATTATATACGATTTAAGTGGCTGAATGTATAATGTATAGCTTCAGTCACTTAACACATATATATTGGCATATAACTAGCACTCTGATCTTGTCGCAAGCAATATATGAAAGAGCAGAATTTAGTCTAGTTTTGGTTGATTGCAAAAAGCATTAGGTTTGGATTGTAGCCTGCAAAGGCTTAAATTTATTTTCAAAACAAACTGGTAAAAATTAGAATAATATTGGGCACATGTTTACTTAGTGAAGACTGCCTACTTGTCCCATACACTTGCCTTCAGATTAAAAGCTTTCTGGTGTTATGTGTTTGCAGGGAGTGGTATTTATGTCCCAGACGGTCCAAGAACCTATTATTACAACACAGAAATGGAAAATGGTCACCTTTTGGTGACAGAACTGAGCTCACACTCACATCTCTCTCCTGACTATCCTGCTGCTGTTAACTGGAAATTGTATGCCAGCAGGATTGGACAGTTTACATCAAACAACCACGATTTCAGTGGGGTCATTTGCCATGATATCTTCACATTCACGAAGCTCAGTGAACCTGAGGGAAATCGTGCCATTTTCCAGCAGGACCTCTGTTGCCATCTGAGTTACAAGATGGCAAAGAAGCAGCAAGGTGATGTTTATTTTCTGGGTGCCTTTGGTGGGCTACATGTTGTTGAAGGAGACTATTATTTGTAGGTAAAAATTTTCTGTTATTATTTGGACAATGAGAAGGCTTCAGCCCATTTGTATTTGTCTCATTTTTGATTGAGGGGCTTTAAGAGGAGGCATTTTTTTAGGCCTCTCTGAAAATATTTTTCTTCATGGTGCATTTTGACTTAGGGGTGTTGATACTGATTTTATGTCTGTTATAAATTATGGAAGAGAAACCCCTGAGTTGTCTCTGTGCTACGGCACTTCAACATGGTTTCCATGTATGCGTACAAAAGGGAGAGAAGATTGGAGAGTTCTCCCTGTCTTCAGAGGGATGCTCTTCTCTCTGTGTTTTTTACCATTTTTCTGATGTGATTCTCTAACACATTATTAAAAAAAAACCAAAAGAAGAAACTAAATATGGACATTTGTATTCGTATAGCTTTTCACTGTATTGATTCTTTTAAACTTAGCTCCTAGGCTTTTTAAAATGTTCTGTAGCTTTGTGTCTTTATACTCTGCATTTAGAGTATCACCACTAGAGTTCGTAATTGAGTATGGCTTTAGTTTTTTAGGAAACTCAGCCAGAGCTGAACTTCCCTGGGCCAAAAACTATTCCATATCTACAACTAAATGCACATGCATTATGCAGACACAGAACTTATAAACACACGTGTGTACACACAGACGCGGTGTTTTGCTGCAGTGCTGGCAAAGAACTGTCTTTTGGCAAAGTTTCAAATGGAAATATTCTCAATCTGCAGATCCTCTTGGCCTAAATAAGTGAGTAGACACATTGGATTGTTTCATCATGGTGACAACTTTTCTTACAATCAAACCCAGTTCCTTACTGTTGGAAGCTTAGTGTTATTTTGCCTTTCTGTCTCCTCCTCCCCACAGATATGCATGCTGCTCAAGTGCAAGAGCACAGACCCGAACACGTGCAGGCAGCCTGTGGAGACGGCTCAGACCAGGTTTGAGATGTTCTCCCTCAGCGGCACGTTTGGCACTAACTATGTCTTTCCAGAAGTCTTGTACAGCGGAGTGCAGCTGGCCCCTAGGGAGTTTGAGGTAATGGGACGCCCTTCTGAATTGTAACACAGATAGTCAAAAAGCCACTACAAAGCACAGGACCAATTTGGTATTTATCAGTTTCCTCTATGTCGTTAGCTGGCTTGAATTCAAGGCAGCTTTATTCCTGCCTGCTTTTCCTGGTTGCATTCAAACAGCAGGTCCATTTTGCCAATCTCCTTCTTCCCTGCCCCTCCAAATCCCCTTTTGAGCAACATTTGTTGCAAGACAGAATTGTAGTTTTCCTCAGACTTTGTGGTGGTTCCAAGTGAGCTACCAAATCTTTTAACAAGGTCAACATTAATGAATATATGAGTTTGTGTTTGCCACACAATAGTACCGCTTTGCTGATATTTCTGGGTTTTTTTGCTTTTCCAAAACCAGGTGCTAACTGATGGACGTCTAATAAGTCGTACTAGTACATTAAAGCCAGTTCTGAGTGTAACAGTCTTTGGGAGGTGGTATGAAAAGGACCTTCCATGCACACAGCAAACTTCGCCATGATTTCACTACAGATCCTTTAAGATCTCATCTGCTTGTTTCTGTAATGTTAATTAACCATAATTAATCATAATGTTAATTAATGTTAGTACACATAATTATAGTGGCATTATATTTCTCAAGTTGCCTTATCTAACAGAATAGTCTTTGCACACTGATTTGTCGACTTGATTTTGCAGCACAAATAAATTGCTTTGCTGGTGAGTTCTGTATGTGGTGTTATATGATAGTGTTGATTGTTGTAGGCTTGACCTTAACACTGAGGACAATAGAAAGTTAATTCCTCTGACTTTGGTAATTTAGGATTCAGATGTATAGCAGTGGATTGTAGACCAATAGCAACTGATTTTTAATTAAGTTCTTGGTGGAGTATTAGAAGTCATTTCCACAAAACTGTTCCACCCCATCCCTGAACACACCCTTTCCTAAACAGCGTTTGACAGGAACTTTGAAGGTTGAACTTTTATCATTTACTTTGAAAAAGAAAACAAGCCTTGAAACACTGTTGCTTCAGAACAGTTATTGAAGTCAGCACAGAGTGTAATGTGTTATCATCCTGTGCCCTAACTTACACTTGGAGGATGTGGTGGCACAGACCCCCTGGGCCACGCTGCAAGGGTCAGGACCAGCCAATGCTGTGTTCTTGTCTTGGTTACAAGTGTAATGGGCTGGGACACTCAAGCACTTTCTTCTCTTGGTTACAAGTGCAGTGAGTTGCGGCGATTGGGCACTCCCTACCCATACCTGAAACTCCTGCTGCCTGATGGTGGGTGAGGACCACTGGGCACTCCCTACCCACACCTGGAACTCCTGCTGCCTGTTCTGAAAGAAGCCAGAGTTACCTGACAAGAATTATGGCTAAATAAAAAAAAATATATATGCTGACCAAAGTTAATCATCTTGAGATCCTATAAATCACAATCCTAAGCGAGACCCTTAGAGCTCTCCAGGATCGCAACAGGCTGTGACCCCATATCTTTGCCCTGAGTTGGGACGCTCTCAGGGTAGATTTCGCAAATACTTCAAAGATGAGATTTCGCAAGTATTTTGAAGAGTGTATTTCTTGAATGGGTTCAAAGAGCAGGTTTCTTTTCCAGGATCATCTGTTGAGAAATGCTGATAAAGACAAAGGGTTCAAAGATCATCTGACAACAAGTGTTCATGCAGAACAGTGAGTCATCCACTACAGTTCCATCTTGGAAGGGTTCAAAGATCATTTGGTATCAGTAACTCATTACAACTTGAGAAGAGAGAATAGGTAAACCTCTATATCTGTGTGTGTATGTTACCCTCTCTCTATACGCTTGTTAACCCCTGAATCGGTGTGTATATATGTCTGCGTCTGTGCTATTCGACTTACGAAACTTCACTGTCTCTGGTGAACCTTGCTATTTCCAAATATTTAATCAAGTTGCTGTATTGAGTAAATTAAGTTTTATTAAATCACTCTGATAACTAGCTGATGATTAAGTACTGTTAAAAATCATTCAACCTAATCTTGTGATTCACCATAACAGTGTTAAAAAATCTCACATTGATGCTACTTCAAAGCTGTGTAGGATCCATGTAGTAATAGAGTGAACATTGTCATTGAACTTTGTGAAGTAGCAGTTTTATAAACTCATATTAAAATCACTTTTACTGATATCTTTGATGGTGTGTCTTCCCATGAAATAGTTGCTCATGCTGGTGCTAGTCAGGATTGTGCAGGCAGGTGTTGGAAGAGGCTAGTGAACAGCTTGAACAGATCGAGTGCATTGGCACGTGTGCATGTGTAAACCCTGCAAACTGTCCTTTCTAAGCGAGTGGACAGGATTATTCTGTGTAGCACAGGGAAGGTTTTGACATATGGTTAATTTTTTTGTTTGTTCTGCTGGTTTGTTTTGAAATAAAAGCAGTATTCATGCTTAATCTGACAAACATCATAAGAAAAACAGACTTTCAGGATGTGAAATAACATTGGTTTTGAACAGAGTGAACATTGTAAAAACAAGATTTTAGTTTGTAAATGTATTCAGTTGTAACCCTCCACAGTTTATATACTAAGAAATAATGGAAAACACTACTTGTTTGTGCAGAAAAAGTACTGTATCTCTACATTTCTATCTGCGCCCTGGGATATGGTGTCGTGTTACAGCTAAGTGACATAACTATGTGCTATTGCTCAAAATAAGCAGTTTCTGATTTCCTCACCCCTGTCCACATGTCCTCACTGCTTTGCAGCAGTGGCATGGTTGCAGGCGTGACTCTTCCCACAGTCTTCCGCACAACAAGGTTAACTCTTTGAATAAGGAGTCGTCTTCCACGGTGTCTCCCCTAGCACAAGAAAAGTAGCAGGACCACAGTTTGAAGACAGACTACGTCTAGAGCTAAGCTGACTTATCATCAGATTTCATTCTATTTCACGAAAGTAAGTCGTCAGATAACTGCCATCCTCAGGCGGTGGCAGAGACGGCGGAGAGTGCAGTAGGTGAGAGTGCCTGGGGAGGGTGCATGGCTGGGGAGGGTGGATTGGGAGGATGGAGGTATGAAAAGTAGAGGGAGCTCTAGGGTAAGCTCTCTCTTACATGGCCCACAGCCACGTATAGCCTGGACGTCTTGCGAAGTTTTATTCAGTGGGTTAGTTTGTTTAACTGGTATTTTAACTGATTCCTTGTTCCTGGGTGAGGTTCCAGCTCTGCAGTCAGTGGTGTCTGCAAGTACTGGCAGGGATGTTTCTATCCTACTGTACTATAGAAACCCCCTGTCCTGGCAGGGTATGTGACTTGAACTTTGCCGGGCAGTACTCCCTGCCTTGCACTTGTAACTTTTTCTGCCCAGCCCTTCCAGAGCACCTTTCTAGGTTGGCTGTTACCCTAGCTCTTGTTTACTACTTCCTCCTTCAGACTGGCATTTATTATGACTAATGTAACTCAATTCGTATTTCATTTGCTAAGAAAAACAGAACGGGAGAAAAAGGCTTCCAAGCTACCTTACTTCAATTATCACTGAAATCTCTATTGCAGCCTTTTAAAGGCTCATATCGAAGGTTCTTGACTGAGTATGCTGTATCTAGCAGTGGGTGTAGAGAAGTATTTTGACATGAACGTTACCAGATGGAAATCAATGTTTCGAATAGTTGAAACTCTCAATCAGTGCTACTCTTGCAGGGAACTCTCCCGTGCTTACATTCACCCACATTTCTGTTGTTTCTGAGACAGGTCTACAATGACAATTTGCTGTAGCTGGAGTCAGACAGCCTGTTCTGCTTCCCATTATTCAGAAAACCTTTTTCAAATCAGAATACCGCAACTACTAGAAAGTCATAGGAAAAAATGCATTTGAACTGAATCGAGTATTAAAAATGAAGTCCTTTCAATACACAGCATGTTCCTGAGGACAGGAAAGGCAAAGCAGAAGAGCAGGCATGTCACTGCACCTGATCAATTAGCTTGATCTTCTGCCTCAGGCTAGCAGGAGCCAGGCAATGGGGTCCTTAACCTGCCTGATTTCAGAGGAAAACATTCCCTCTAGATGCATATTTTCTGGTAGAAGGCTGTTGGAAAGCAATGTACAGCTAAATAGAAGCAACTAGGAGAGCCACTGACATAAATGCCAAGTCAAGTAGCATCTTCTTCTGGCATGTTAAGTGTATTACACCTAAGTAGAATGAGATTATAGTGTAATGACTTTGGTTTAAAGAAACTCGGGGAAAAAACCTGTGCATACTGACACATAGCACAGGATTTGGGGAGTATGAAGACAGTAGAATAAAGCAGGTTTTAAGACCCTCAATTTTGTCACTCAAACTGCCCAGAAGACTAGCTCCAGGAGTGACACATCCACCTTTTACCCGGGTATCAGAGTTGAGCCATCATAGATAGCAGAAGTCTATTACAATCAATGACGGAAAAGTATAACAATAAAAATTGGACAGTTATTTCTAACCATGTGTTTAATGATTTATTTTTATATTGGCATAGTTAGTCTTGACATTACCCAGTTTTTCTGGTCTTGTTGAGTTGCGACATCCTTACTGTGCATTGTTATACCTTCTCGTATGTTACTGGCAACAAACTTGATTCCTGTTGGCAGAGCTGTACTATGCCCTCCCAGATTACTCAATAGGAGATTATTTCCAAAGCAAACTTATTAGTCTTTACTTTCCTCTCTCTGTCCGGTTCATATTCCCCGTGCCCGATCCAGGAGCAGCAAGGTACCAGCCATGCTCCCTTCCCAGCCTCTCCTGCACGCTGCCGTGTTTGCTCTCACAGCCCTTCAGGCCCTTGGCTCTGACACCTTCATTGCGGCCGTCTACGAGCACGCGGTCATCCTGCCAGATGCCACTGATGAGCCCGTTTCTCCGGACGATGCTTTGGCCCTCATGAACAAAAACATGGATGTCTTGGAAGGGGCCGTCAAGGAAGCTGCCCAGCAGGTACCAGGTGTATTGTGAGCGCTGTTAATTCCTGTTTCCTTCTCCTGCTGACCCTCCTGGTTACCTGTTGATGGGTGAATTCTTAATGGAGCTTCTTGTGTCAGGGCGCTCACATCATTGTGACTCCTGAAGACGGCATTTATGGCTGGCGTTTCTCGAGAGAAGCCATCTACCCCTACCTGGAGGATATCCCCGATCCGGTGGTGAACTGGATTCCCTGCACGGATCCCACGAGGTGATTCCTTCTGTAGTGCTTTATGTGGTTTCAAACTAGTTTCTCATGAAGTCATGAGCTGCTGCCAGTAAATGCCTAAGAACTGCTAATGCTTTTGACATGAGAGTAAGTTTCGGTTAAAGCTGCATGTGAAGGTGAGTTACATGATAAAATATATAGCATGCCTATGACTAATTGACAAGTGAACCCTGTTAAAAAAAAAATCTTTTGGAATTCAAAGAGAAATTTAAACAATATACAGGATTTGGCTTATTGAATATAATGGAAAATTGCTTTTTTCTTCACTTGAAATAAGTTTGATGCCAAAATATGCTGCCTCTTTTTCTGCTTTCAGTTTTTCCACACTATTTTGAATAGAACTGATTGTAAATTTTTAACACTAGTTTTTATTTGGTTTGTGGTTTTCTTTGATAATGTCATTTTGAAACAAATGCACACTTATCATTTCTGTGGACAGCCAAGAACTAGTTTCTCAGCAGCTAGTAACAGAGGTGATGAAGTCAGTAGTCAAAATCCAAAACTCTGAGTGATACAAACCCAGAGAATATTAACCTTAGTTTTTCACATGTGAGATCCAACAAAGACCAAATTGCTCTACAGACTGTGTTGTAGAACATCATAGAATCATAGAATCACAGAATGTTGAGGGTTGGAAGGGACCTCGAAAGATCATCTAGCCCAAACCCCCTGCCGGAGCAGGTTCCCCTAGGGCAGTCACACAGGAACGCATCCAGGTAGGTTTTGAAAGTCTTCAGAGAAGGAGACTCCATGACCTCTCTTGGCAGCCTGTTCCAGTGCTCCGGCACCCTCAGAGTAAAGAAATTTTTCCTCATATTGAGGTGGAACTTCCTATGTTCTAGCTTATACCCATTATTCCTTTTCTATTGCTGGGCACCACTGAGAAGAGATTGTCCTCTTCCTCTTGACACCCACCCCCCGGACATTTCTATACGTTAATAAGGTCCCCTCTCAACCATCATTCAAGCATCATGTTCCAACAGGGCAAAGCTAACCCATAGTTGAGCACAGTACTAGCTTTAGGTCCATACAGCATCCAGTAAGTGATCAGCCACGGAACTATAGCTGTGGTCTGCCTTATTCACCACGGCTTTCTGCACCTGCTCAGTGATCAGATGCTTATAGCACATTATTACACCTGTAAGGATGCAATTCATCAATGATGTGGGGTGGTAACATGTCTAAGCAGGTGTTTATTTCAGTCCTTTGCACTGTTAGTTTTTGTAAAGGTTATCCACGTGTCTCTTCACTGCTCTGAATCATGGTTTTCATTAGTGGCTTGTGTAGGAATATAATGCCTGCCATCACAATCTGGCATACTCTATTTCTTGGTGGTATATAGGTATGTTTTATGATGGTCCTCTCGTGTGGCCCATGCACACCTTGCAAAGCCATATGCGTTGCCACCTTACAGAAGGGTGTCAAAGTTTGAAGATGGGCTGGCCACTAAAATTTGACAGATGCTCTCTGTGATTCCCCCACCACCCTCCCAGGAGAGGATAACAGGGGAACAAGTGAGAGAGAATTTGAGGTTAAAAAAAATTTAACCAGTTTAATGAAAAAGCAAAATAATACTAACGATAACAATGAAGATGTTAAAACTATATACAGATATTATACAAGCATAAAAATATATTAAAAATTACAAGAGAACAACTTAGTATGGAATCCGTGCCCTCTGGATGACAACTACGCCCAGAGCAGAAAATCCCAGACTGGACTTAGCAGCCAAAAGAAGCGCCCAATTCCAGAGTCCCCATGACAGCCCAAAAAAAACACTGAAAAAGGAAATATACTTCTCCCATCTGGAGAGGCAAGGAAAGACAACCTGTACTGATAAAAGGTTCTCCTCTGCAGTGTGAAAACAGGAGACAGGAACACCAGCAGCACAGGAAGATATGACAGATAGCCATCCTCCCAGCGCAGCAGACACTATAAAAGACCTCAAGGTTCTTCTTAGGAGCCCTTATATACTAAACACCTTGAGAAGGAACATCGTGATTTTTCCATTTGGGTCTTCTGACCCATCCTTTCCTCTCTATAGGTACAGCTGCCCTTTCTCCCCAACTGTGATTGCCATTTGTGCCAGGAACCCCAGTGACACTGACAGTAGAGTTCTTGTTAGTCTTTTTTTACCCCCTCCCTTTAAAATACGTTAGATTTGCTCCAGCACCTGTCCAGGAACGACTTAGCTGCATGGCCAGGAATAACTCCATCTATGTGGTTGCAAACATGGGGGACAAGAAGCCGTGTAACTCCAGTGATCCCAGCTGCCCCAGCGACGGTCGCTATCAGTACAACACTGATGTCGTCTTTGACCCAGAGGGGAAACTGGTGGCTCGTTACCATAAGGTAAAGTGGCCTTGGAAAGTGAGGAGCTTTTTTTCTACTTCTAAAATCTCTCCATTTGGCAAAAGACTTAAATGCCAGTCATTGTCCCATGGCAGATTTTTGCTTTTGTCTATAATTTAAAGGAATCTCTCTCTTGCTGTGAAATGTTGACTCCAAATTTGCTTTTATTGTCAAATTTAGGCTGGACATTATGAAGAAATTCTTCACAGAAAGAGTGGTCAGACACTGGAACAGACTGCCTAGGGAGGGGGTTGAGCCACCATCCCTGGGTGTGT